GGAAGACGACGACGACCCGACTCACGGCCTCCCTCCCCACATCCCTGCCGGCACCCCTCCAGCGCCTGCCTTAGCGCGATCCGCGCGCAGGGCAAGGGGTGTGGGTAGGGGTATGGGTCCAGCACCGACGCAAGAAGCCCGCGCGGGCGCCCGCAAGGAAGTTTGTGCCCATGCCGTTACGCGGGTCCCTTTGGCCACAGGCAACAAGGGACCCTAACTGGGCAAGAGCAACCCTTGGTGCGCGGCTTGCCGACCGCCGCGTGCGATGCGACAGTAATTAGCGACCTGCATGCTTGGGTTTGGTCCCCCCGCGGCCCCCAAGAGCCGCGCGGCGAAGGACTCCTGACACCCGCTGGTCTGGATTTTTTGCGATGCGGCTCAGAGGTCCCGACCACTACCCTGGTCATGTATGCGTCCCGCGCCCGTTTCTGGGGTTCCTGGAGCCCGATGGCGGGCCCGTAAGGGCCGAAATCAAAGAGAAACCGCCGCGCCCCCTCCCCGCAGGCCGACCCCCCGGCTCCCGTGGGGCCCGCCGCTGTTGCCTTGTTCACTGCGTACCACTGCGAGGAAGCGGATGGCGTTGAATGCAGTCGGTCTCCACCTCGGTGCTGACGGCCGTGGCCTTCTGCGCCGCCGGCGCCGCCCGCTGGCGGCGGGCCCCCCCGCGCGCCGCAGAGGCCGCGACGGCCAGCGCCGCGGCGCCGCACACGGCTCCGGCAGCGGTCGTCGTCCCGGCGGAGCCCGCCTCGACGCCTCGCACGTTGCCGCGCAGCTGGGGCGCCGCCGGGGCCGCCGGCTGCCCCGAGGAGGGCGCCACGAAGCAGTTGACCGCCGCCAGCGTCGCGGCAGCGCCCGCCACGGGCACGAGCATCGACGAGCGCTTGCCCGACATCTTCGACGCAACGGGCATCCTACCACGGAGCAGTCTGCGGGACCAGCGGTTGCGGCCTCCACGCAGAACTTAGAGGGCACACTAGCTTGAGCCAAAACGGCTACAGAAGGCGAGGAACAGGAAGAGGGGGAGCAGGAGGATCGAGATCCGAGAGGATGAGAAGGATCTGGGAGGAGGAAGCCAGAAGAGGAAGATGAAGACCCGAGGAAGAGGGCGACGAGGAGGATGAGCAGGAGGAGGAGGAGGCGGAGGCGGAGGCGGAGGAGGAGGGGTAGGAGGAAGGCTGATGAGATGGATGGTTGAGGAGGGGAGGAAGGGAGGAACAACGAGACGGGCGAAATGAGGCGAGTGGAAGCGCAACAGAGAATCATTCGGGGTCTTCGTCTTCACTCTTGCCATCGCCTCGCCGATGGCAGTACCGAGGAGGAGAATCTGCCACTGGGTTTTGTCCTGGACTCCCTGGTCCGAACACAAGCAGGCCACCCTGTCCGCAACCGCCATCAGAAATCCTGGAGATCCCCAAGACTACCCGTGCCCGTAGCTCGCTCCCGCAGGCTCCTCCTCGGCCCCCCCCGACGATCAAGAAGCATATCTTGCTGCCTCAACGCCCCTGCATGGTCCGAGAGGTCCTGGAGGCCCACAGAATGGGCAGGCATGACCTCGGATGCCCGGGGCGAGAGGGAGGGCAAGCGGAAGAGAACATAGGAGGATGAGGAGGGGAACATGAAGCATGGGGGTCGCACCAAGCGCCATCGAAGGTGTCCTTGCCCTCCGCCTGCTCAAGCGTGCTCGTCAGGCCCCAGCCTGGAGAAAGGGCCGGCCGCGTGTTCTCGGCAGGCTCCATGTTTCGACACGCTGGACCCAAACGCGATTCCAAGGCGGAAGGACGATTACTGTGCGGAAGCCACTCACAAGGTCTTCTAAAACAGTGGTCAAAAAAGCGCGCTCAGTGCTTGCCCTGGCTTCCGTCCGACAGGACGCCCTTCTCGCCCTTCATGCAGCGCTCGGCGCAGGCGACGACGTTGGGGACGTTGAAGCCGAACTTGTCCATGCAGGTGCCCCCTGGGGCCGAGGCGCCGAAGCAGTTGATGCCCACAAAGGCGTCGGCCCACTCGCCCCAGCCCATGGTGACGGCCGCCTCCACGCTCATCTTGGGCACGTCCTTGGGCAGCAAGTTGCTCTTGTAGCTCAGCGGCTGGTCGCGGTAGAGCTCCCACGAGGGCATCGACACCACGCGCACCTTCTTGCCCAGCTCCTTGGCGGCATCCACGCACAGGCTGACCTCGGAGCCAGTGCCGATGAGGATCAGCTCCGGGTCCGACTCCTCGATCACGGCGTATGCGCCCCTCTCCACGTTGGCGATGGAGGAGTTTGGCAGGTTCGGCAACGCCTGGCGGGTCAGGGCCATGAAGGTGGGCATAGACTTGTACTTGGACAACTCGAAGGCGACTTTGTACGCGCCCGATGTCTCGTTGGCGTCAGCTGGACGTATGACGGTCAGCTCTGGGATCATGCGCAGGGATGGGACGGTCTCGATGGGTTGGTGCGTGGGGCCATCCTCGCCCACCGCGATGGAGTCGTGGGTGGTGACGAAGATAGTTCCGGCCTGCGCCAGGGCGGCGATGCGGATCGCGTTGCGCATGTAGTCGCTGAAGATGGTGAAGGTGGCGCAGTACGGCACCAGGCCAGTCTTGTCCAGGGAGATGGCGTTCGACACGGCACCCATGCCACCAAACCCGACACCGACCCGCCTCCAAAACCCCCCAAAACAAACCCCAAAACCACCGAACTCGCGGATTCAAAGCCGCCATGTTGCGGCCTCGTTGCCCCCTTAAAGTCACCCGTGCACTTCATCAGCGTCATGTTCGAGGGTGCCAGGTCCGCGGACCCGCCGATGAGCTCGGGGCAGGTGCTGGCCAGCGCGTTCAGGCAATCCTGGGACCACAGGCGCGTAGCCTTGCCGCTATCCTCGGGCGTCACCTTGGGCAGGCAGTCGGCCCAGCCTTCGGGGAGCTTCTTGTCGATGGCGATGCGCTTGAACTGCGCGGCCAGCTCGGGCTCCGCCTCCTGGTACCTGGCCCACAGGGCGTTCCACTCCTCCTGCTTCTTGGCGCCCTCGGCCGCGTGGGCACGGAAGACGTCGTAGACGCTCTGCGGCACCTCAAACTCGCCGTACTTGTAGCCGAGCTGCTCGCGGGTCGCGGTGGCCTCGTCCGAGCCCAGGGGCGCGCCGTGGGCGTCGTGGCTGTCGGCCTTGTTCGGCGAGCCGTACCCGATTACCGTCTTGACCTTGATCAGGGTGGGCTTGTCGGTGCACGCCTTGTCGTCCGTCGTCGCCTTGCGCGTCATCGTCGTCGTCGTCGTCGTCGTCGTCGTCGTCGTCGTCCGTCGTCGTCGTCGTCGTCGTCGTCGTCGTCGTCGTCGTGAAGGAGGGTCCGTGTGGCCGTCGGTGTCCCGTGTGTCGTCGTTAGAGAGAAGCGCCGAGGCAGATTGCGCATAGAAAGGCAGGACTCGTGGGAGTTATCCCCCCTGGCACCGTCTACCCTGTGCAGTACGTGTAGTGGGGGAAACAAACCTACCTCGCTTTTGACAACCCTCGCTTGAAAGAGATACCAAACGATGCCAAACTACGGCCTGTACTGGTCAGGCCGCTTGACGAGGAGGCGCGTGGTATGACTTGGTTTTGCCTGGAAACGAAAGCGGGGTAGGTAATTCACGCTCTGATATGTGCAAGCTGATTCCACATGTCGGTGTTATGCACGAAGGCGGAACCGGTTCTCAAAAGTTGGCCTCAAACGACCCTGGCAATCCGATACAAAGAGCACGACGGTGCCGAGCCCGACATTCATCATGCTGCAAAAAAAACGCTAAGACGAGGCATACGAACGAAACTATGTGCACACACGCTGGCGTCTGACCACCACCGCGCATGCAAGCGCACGCATGCTCGAGACCCTCGCATGCCGATGCTGATCCCACAAGCCTTGTGGGCGCAAGCGGCTCAGTGGCCGTTTCCTTCTTTCCCGGGTAACGGTCGCTACCCGTGGAGGGGGGGGGGTCGGGCGACAGGGTGAAGGGAACGGCGGCCGCGGCGTGCACCCGTCAGCATGCGTCCGTGCCACCGGCGCACGCAGCAGTCGCTTGTGTGCACGACAGCAGGCAGGGGGGGGTCCAGCACCCCCCCCCAGTACGATCGTGAGCGATACCCTGGGGGGGTGGGGGTGGGGGAGGGGGTTGGCCTGGGTAGCGAGGTAACGAGCGCCACCCTGGGGGGGGAAAGCAAAAAACGATCACTGCCGTGCCGATGGCCCCATGAAGCCCATCCGCCCATGCTTCCCCGCCGGGGCAGGATGGATCGAACGTGACGCGAGCCCATACGTAAAACCTTTGGACGCCCGACATGGGTGCGACAAAATGGGTACAATGCCCGAACGACAAATGTTGTCCCACACCATCAGCGGCCGCTGTTGGGCAGGCGGCCTTCTGTCTCGAATGGACACAGGCCGCGGCAGCGTGGACAGCGAGTCCTGCTCAAAACGAACAGGAACTGCTGTTGGGCATTGTACCCATTCTTTCCGTACCCACTTCGTTCGTGCCGAACATCAGAGTGATGATTTGTCCGCGCAGCCGACCCGGCGAGTTCCAAAAAAGCTCACTGCAGTGCAGATGGCCCCATGAAGCCCATCCGCCCATCCTTCCCCGCCGGGGCAGGATGGATCGAACGTGACGCGAGACGATCGATAACTCGGGCCGGGCGAAAGGGGGGGATAGCAAAGGGGGGGGGCTGAGAATCAGCTCGCGTAGCTGATTTTCCCGGCGCCTCCCGGCGCCGGGAGGAGCCCATGTATCGAGGAATGGGCCCCTCGGGGGGGCCGAAACCGGCTGCACGCAGCAAATCCCGTAACCCCCCCCCCTTGCCCGATCCCCCCTCGCGTCCGGCCCGAACCGCGGCAGTGCGATGCTTTGTCCGCGCAGCCGACCCCGCGAGCTCAACGACGCGCCGGCCGGCCCGACCCTCGCCATCGCTCGGACGTCCACTCCGTGTGCTTTTCTCGGTGTCGTGCGTGGTTTTTCCGCCAGATGATCACGGATGCTCCTCGATGGTCCTCGCCGAAGGAAAAATGCACACGTCCGAGCGATGCCGAGGTGACCGACCGACGCCGCGCGCCGAGCCGCACACGGCCGGGCCCGCGGCGCCCCGCGGGGGAGGCGCCCTGCCGGAGGGGCGCGCGCGCGCTCGGCCCGGGCGGGGGAGGCGCCGCCACGGCCCAGGCCGCGCCGCTCGTTGAGCGGCGCGCGCGGCCGCGGGGCAGCCGGGCTGCCGCCTGGCCGGGCCTCCGCCCGACACACGCGCACGGTCGGCCTGCGGAGGCAACTGCTGGGAGGTCTGCGTCGGAGAGATCAAGGCGGATTATGAGGATCCAAGTAGTGACCCCCGCCCCCGGCCAGAACTTGTTAGTAAATAACCCAGGCCCCCACGTGGTGTACAACATGCTGCGGGGCAAGTCATGAGCCTGCCTTCGTCGCGGAACTCCGCCGGAGGGGGCCTCGGACTATAAGCAGGAATCGGCCGGACTGAGCGGGATCAAGCGGGATGAAGCGGGAGTAAGCGGGAGGAAGCTGGATGAAGCCGGAGTTCGGACCAGGGCGAGAACAGCAGTTGACTTCCCAGGAGCTGCATCCGAATCGACCCGTGTAGTAAGGATGCGCGAGAAGGATGCAGGGGCCCAGGACGCGCGGCTCGAGGCCTTCGTCGCGAGCGGGGCGCGCCCCACGCGGGTGGCGCAGGATGGGCCGAGGAGGCAAGGATGCAAGGGTACCCTTGGGAAGGTACTCCAGATGTCATAGTAAAGGGGGGGGGGTCTCTTCCAGGCCATCTTGGAGGGCCTGAGGGGGTCTGGGGACGATGTTTTGGAGGGTTCTCCCACGGGGGAGGTCTGAAATGGCTTGTCTTGGAGGGTCCAGACCCCCTCCCTTTTATTACGAAATCTGGGGTACCCTTGGGAAGGTTGCCCATCCTTTCTATGCAGGTAGACTGTAGTTCAAACAACAGATAGAAAGAACTCTTGGGCACCTGAGACCGCCGATCCCAGGTGCAGGAGAAGACGACTACGGAAGCCACTCAGCAGGTCTTCGAAAACGTGGTCAAAAAGCGCGCTCAGTGCTTGCCCTGGCTTCCGTCCGACAGGACGCCCTTCTCGCCCTTCATGCAGCGCTCGGCGCAGGCGACGACGTTGGGGACGTTGAAGCCGAACTTGTCCATGCAGGTGCCCCCTGGGGCCGAGGCGCCGAAGCAGTTGATGCCCACAAAGGCGTCGGCCCACTCGCCCCAGCCCATGGTGACGGCCGCCTCCACGCTCATCTTGGGCACGTCCTTGGGCAGCAAGTTGCTCTTGTAGCTCAGCGGCTGGTCGCGGTAGAGCTCCCACGAGGGCATCGACACCACGCGCACCTTCTTGCCCAGCTCCTTGGCGGCATCCACGCACAGGCTGACCTCGGAGCCAGTGCCGATGAGGATCAGCTCCGGGTCCGACTCCTCGATCACGGCGTATGCGCCCCTCTCCACGTTGGCGATGGAGGAGTTTGGCAGGTTCGGCAACGCCTGGCGGGTCAGGGCCATGAAGGTGGGCATAGACTTGTACTTGGACAACTCGAAGGCGACTTTGTACGCGCCCGATGTCTCGTTGGCGTCAGCTGGACGTATGACGGTCAGCTCTGGGATCATGCGCAGGGATGGGACGGTCTCGATGGGTTGGTGCGTGGGGCCATCCTCGCCCACCGCGATGGAGTCGTGGGTGGTGACGAAGATAGTTCCGGCCTGCGCCAGGGCGGCGATGCGGATCGCGTTGCGCATGTAGTCGCTGAAGATGGTGAAGGTGGCGCAGTACGGCACCAGGCCAGTCTTGTCCAGGGAGATGGCGTTACACACGGCGCCCATGCCGAACTCGCGGATTCCGAATCGCATGTTGCGGCCCTCGTAGGAGCCCTTCAGGAAGTCACCCGTGCACTTCATCAGCGTCATGTTCGAGGGTGCCAGGTCCGCGGACCCGCCGATGAGCTCAGGGCAGGTGCTGGCCAGCGCGTTCAGGCAATCCTGGGACCACAGGCGAGTGGCCTTGCCGCTGTCCTCGGGCGTCGCCTTGGGCAGGCAGTCGGCCCAGCCCTCGGGGAGCTTCTTGTCGATGGCGACACGCTTGAACTGCGCCGCCAGCTCGGGCTCAGCCTCCTGGTACTTGGCCCACAGGGCGTTCCACTCCTCCTGCTTCTTGGCGCCCTCGGCCGCGTGGGCACGGAAGACGTCGTAGACGCTCTGCGGCACCTCAAACTCGCCGTACTTGTAGCCGAGCTGCTCGCGGGTCGCGGTGGCCTCGTCCGAGCCCAGGGGCGCGCCGTGGGCGTCGTGGCTGTCGGCCTTGTTCGGCGAGCCGTACCCGATCACCGTCTTGACCTTGATCAGGGTGGGCTTGTCGGTGCACGCCTTGGCATCCGCGATGGCCTTGCGGAGGGCAGCCACGTCGGTGTTGCCATCCTCAACCGTCAGTACCTGCCATCCGTACGCCTCGTAGCGCATGCCCACATCCTCGGTGAAGGAGAGCTCCGTGTGGCCGTCGATGGTGATCCCGTTGTCGTCGTAGAAGACGATGAGCTTGCCGAGGCCGAGATGGCCAGCATATGCGCAGGACTCGTGGGAGATCCCCTCCTGGCAGCAACCGTCACCCATGATGCAGTACGTGTAGTGGTCGATCAGGGGCAAGCCAGGCTTGTTGTAGACGGCGGCGTTGTGCGCCTCGGCAGCCGCGAGGCCCACAGCGTTGGATACACCCATGCCGAGCGGGCCCGTGGTGACCTCGATGCCCGCAGTCTCGAAGTTCTCGGGGTGGCCCGGCGTCTTGGAGCCCCACTGCCTGAATTGCTTCAGGTCGTCCATGGAGACGCTCTCGTAGCCCGTGAGATGGAGCACTGAGTACTGGAACATGCAGCCGTGGCCAGAGGAGAGCACGAAGCGGTCGCGGTTCACCCACGCGGGGTCCGCGGGGTTGAAGTTCATCTCCTCGGCGAACAGCACGTAGCCGATGGGAGCCTGACCCATCGGTGCTCCTGCAGAAGACCGCACAGCGAAAGACGTGTGAACCTTTGGATGCCCAGGAGGAGGAGGAGGAGGACGAGGAGCAGCAGGGGAAGGGGGGAGAAGGAGGAGGAGGAAGAGACAGAGGATGAGGAAGAGGAAGACGACGACGACCCGACTCACGCCTCCCTCCCCACATCCTCCCTCCCCACATCCCAGGGCAAGGGGTGTGGGTAGGGGTATGGGTCCATCACCATCATCATCATCATCAGCATCATCATCATCAGCATCAGCATTAGCATTAGCATCATCATCATCATCATCATCATCATCATCATCATCATCATCATCATCGTCGTCACCATCATCATCATCAGCAGCATCATCAGCACAGTCATCGTCATCATCATCAGCATCATCGCCATCCTCGTTCTCATCATCATCAGCATCATCAGCATCATCATCAACGTCATCATCATCATCATCATCATCATCTTCATCATCATCATCATCATCATCATCATCATCATCATCATCGTCGTCACCATCATACTCATCATCATCATCAGCAGCAGCATCAGCATCATCATCATCAGCATCATCAGCATCATCTTCATCAGTAGCAGCATCATCATCAGCAGCAGCATCATCAGCATCATCAGCAGCAGCATCATCATCAGCATCATCATCAGCAGCAGCAGCCTCATCAGAAGCAGCATCAGCAGCAGCAACGGCATCGTCATCACCATGATCAGCATCAGCATCGTCATAATCAGCATCAACATCGCCATCATCATCAGCATCGGCAGCATCAGCATCAGCAGCATCAGCATCAACATCATCATCTGCATCGTCAGCATCATCAGCATCAGCATCATCATCATCATCAGCGTCAGCATCATCATCATCATCATCATAATCAGCATCGCCCTCAGCATCATCATCGTCGTCAGCATCATCAGTATCAGCATCATCATCGTCGTCAGCATCATCAGTATCAGCAGCATCATCAGCATCGTCGTCATCGTCAGCATCGTCAGCATCAGCCGCATCATCATCAGCATCAGCATCATCGTCTGCATCAGCATCCACGTCATCATCAGCATCAACATCATCAGCAGCATCAGCAACCTCATCAGCATCAGCATCGTCATCAGCATCATCAATATAAGCATCAGCAGCATCATCAGCATCAGTATCATCATCAGCAGCATCGTCATCATCAGCATGAGCATCATAATCAGCATCATGAGCAGCATCAGCATCATCATCATCGCCGTCATCAGCATCATCAGCAGCGGCATCATCAGCATCGGCATCATCATGGTCATCATCACCAGCATCAGCAGCAGCATCATCATCAGCATCAGCATCATCATCATCATCATCAGTATCATCATCAGCATCAGCATCATCCTTAGCATCATCATGATCAGCATCAGCATCATAATCATCAGCATCATCGGCATAAGCATCATCATCAGCATCAGCATCAGCATCAGCAATATCATCTTCAGCAGCATCCTCATCAGCATCATCATCATGATAGTCATCGTCCTCATCGCCATCATCACCATCATCATCAGCATCATCATCATCCGCTCTCCTCCTCCTCCTCCTCCCTCCTCGTCCTCCTCCTCACCCCTCCTCCTCCTTCACCTGCGCCTCCGCCTCCTCCTCCTCCTACTCCTCCTCCTCCGCCGCCGCAGCCGCCTCTTCCTCCTCATCCTCTTTCCTTATCCTCCTCCTCCTGCTCCTTCTCCTCCTCCGCCTCCGCCTCCGCCTCCGCCTCCGCCTCCGCCCCAGCCGCCTCAATTTCCGCCTCCGCCTCCGACTGCACCTCATCTTGCTCCTCCTCCTCCTCCGCCTCCTCCTTATCTTAGTATTAGTCGTTCCCTTCAAATTAGTATTAGTATTGTGCATGCTCTTCTTAGTATGTTCGTTCGCTTCACTGTCGTGAGTATTATGGTTCGCATTATTATTCTCGGTGTTCATGATAATCGTATCGTTTGTATGCTTGTTAGTACTATTATTATTATGTGTCTCATTGTTGTTTAGTCTCAGCATGCTTCATATTATTCGTCCTCCTCCTCCTCGGCATTATTATTGTTCCTCGTCCTCCTCCTCCACCTCCTCCTCCTCCTCCACCTACTCTTCCTCCTCCTCCTCCGCCGCCTCGGCCTCCGCCTCCGCCTCCGCCTCCGCCTCCTCCTCCTCCACGTGTTTCCCGAAGGGATTCCACAACGGCTATGGGAACCGCATGGTCCAACAGCGTGCCCAAACTTTGCCCAAACGTTTGGACTCGTTGGCGTACCCTCTCAGGCAGGGGTCGGCGGTGATTCGCCGTCGGCGTCTTCGGTATACTCTTGTCGCGACCCAGAAGTTCTGGTTTCGTTCGTGTGCGCGCACAGACAAAACAAGCCAAGGCAACCCTTGGGTCGGGCATGTCCTCCTACAGGCGGATGTTGGAAGAAAGATCCAAGATAGTCCACAAATGCTCAATATTGTCAAACAGAATCGAACATCGTCCCCGTTGCATTTGTTCCTATTACATTCACCCTGTAGAAGGACGTGCCCGACTGAAAGAAGCCCCGCATGAGGCACCTACGCGGGCCCAGAGGGTGGGCGCTGGGGCGCCAGCATGGTCACTCGTGGGTCGAGGTCGGTGTCGCGTGTGGTCGTGCGGCGCAGAAGTCGGAGTCAGTGGCCAGGAAGCTTGCGTCGAAGAGATGGCCAGTGTAGCCTAAGTCGAAAAGATGAGAGCTGGAGTCGGAGATGGAAGCCTGAGTCGGAGAGAACGACAGGTCAGTGGTCGAGTCTCCTGGTCTAGAGCCTGCCTGGTCTGCAGGACGCTGAAGGTCAAGTGCTGGCTGGAGTCTGTTGTAGAGAAGTCCGTTGAGGATCTTGCAACAGTCGTAGAACCGTGCATATGGGGCAGTAGATATGGAAGGGAAGGAAGGAGGCGGGGAGGAGCATGTGGAGGGGAAACAAAAGGGAGGAGCCGCAGAAGCAGCAGCAGCAGCAGCCAGTTCCCCTCCTCCCCTCCTCACTTCATCATCCCATGGCCTTCCAGCCCCTCATCTCCCCTTCCTCCTCGTCACCTGGTCACGGTCAAGCGAGAGCAGCCTCGAAGCTTGCCCCCCGCTGCCCATACAGACGTCGCTGCTCAACCGCTGCTCTCCCGTTCAAGCCGCCACACGGCAATCGATGCAAGCACGAAGCAGCATCTCCAGAGAGAGACGGCAGCGGGCACGCGTGCACGACCAGCTTACGCGCTCGGAGCGAGCATTAGGTCGGGCATGTTCCAACTACAGGCGGATGTTGGAGGGAAAACTAAAATTATCCTGGCGAAGGACCCAACCATCAGCAATTGTTCGTAACGCGTTGTGGGTGCCGCTTTCGGTGGGGCTCCCTATGGGGCCACGAAACGCTGCCCTGGGCGGGGGAACCGCATGCGGGAGCAGCCATTGGGGCCTTCGGTGGAGCTCCCTATGGGCCACGAAACGCTGCCCAGGGTGGGGGAAACGCATGCGAGAGCAACCACTGGGATCTTCGGTGGAGCTCCCTTATGGGGCTACGAAACGCTGCCCAGGGTGGGGGTACGCATGCGAGAGCAACCACTGGGGCCTTCGGTGGAGCTCCCTATGGGGCCACGAAGCGCTGCCCAGGGTGGGGGAAACGCATGCGAGAGCAACCACTGGGGCCTTCGGTGGAGCTACCCTATGGGGCCCAAAACGCTGCCCAGGGTGGGGGGAAACGCATGCGAGAGCAACCACTGGGGCCTTCGGTGGAGCTCCCTTGGGGCCACGAAACGCTGCCCAGGGTGGGGGAAACGCATGCGAGAGCAACCACTGGGGCCTTCGGTGGAGCTCCCGATGGAGTACGAAGCGCTGCCCAGGGTGGGGGAAACGCATGCGAGAGCAACCACTGGGGCCTTCGGTGGAGCTCCCTATGGGGCCACGAAACGCTGCCCAGGGTGGGGGAAACGCAGGCGAGAGCAACCACTGGGCCCGTCGGTGGAGCTCCCTATGGGGCTACGAAACGCTGCCCAGGGCGGGGGAAACGCATGCGAGAGCATCCACTGGGGCCTTCGGTGGAGCTCCCTATGGGGCCACGAGACGCTGCCCAGGGTGGGGGAAACGCATGCGAGAGCAACCACTGGGGCCTCCGGTGGAGCTCCCTATGGGGCCACGAGACGCTGCCCAGGGTGGGGGAAACGCATGCGAGAGCAACCACTGGGGCCTTCGGTGGAGCTCCATATGGGGCCACGAAACGCTGCCCAGGGTGGGGGAAACGCATGCGAGAGCAACCACTGGGGCCTTCGGTGGAGCTCCCTATGGGGCCACGAAGCGCTGCCCAGGGTGGGTGAAACGCAGGCGAGAGCAACCACTGGGGCCTTCGGTGGAGCTCCCTATAGGGCCACGAAACGCTGCCCAAGGGTGGGGGAAACGCATGCGAGAGCAACCGCCTTCGGTGGAGCTCCCTATGGAGCTACGAAACGCTGCCCAAGGTGGGGGAAACGCATGCGAGAGCAACCACTGGGGCTTTCGGTGGAGCTCCCTATGGGGCCACGAGACGCTGCCCAGGGTGGGGGAAACGCATGCGAGAGCAACCACTGGGGCCTTCGGTGGAGCTCCCCATGGGGCTACGAAACGTGTGAGAGGTGTGCCGAGAGCAGAGGCAAGGAGGGGGAGGAGGGAGGGGGAGGAGGAAGGAAGGAAGGAAGGAGGTGGGACGCGGGGCGCTGTCTCTTCAAAACGAGGACCCAACACCACAGGATGTTTGGGAAAAAAACCTTAGAAATATGCCAAAAATGCTTAGCTCGAAAAATCGTCCCCAGACTATGTTTAGCTATTTTTGAAGATTCCCGCTGTAGAGCGACAGGCCCGACTTACGCTTACGCGCTCGGAGCGAGCAGATAGATGCAGATGACCTCTCCAGGTCAGAGGGGCACGCTGAGGCAGGCTTCACATGCACGGAGCTCGCGGCTGTGAGGACCAGCTCGACCAACCTTGCAACGCACGTGACACATTTAGCGAAGACAACGCTGCCTACAGTAGGGGCCCGACCACGAGAAACCTTCCGCAAGAAACCCAACCCTGAAGCCCCAGGACGTCCTTGATGTTTGGTGTGGGAACGTCACGCTTTCCATGGCAAAGCAATCGAAACCCAAGAAACCCAGGGCACCCTGCAGGCAAGCAGGGTGTTTCTTGACATGGGCCTCCACTGTACGTTACGAAGCAGATGCAAGCGAAAGCCGTGCTGCGACAGTGCAAGGACAAGCAAAAAGAAAGGAGCGAGTACCGGATGTGCCGGCGCTGCATACGCAGGTGCCTGCCCGAGGAGAGGCGCGGAATTTCTGCAACACCAAGCTGGAAGCAATGCTCATCGCGCAGTCGCGCTCTGGGAAGGAGAGCACAAATATAGCAAGTCGAACTGTGCTGGCCCAGAAAACTACGCAAATGGAGGAGGAAGAGGAGGAGGCGGAGAAAGGAGGAGGAGGGAAGAGAAGGGAGGAGGGAGGAGGAGGGAGGAGGTGGAGGAGGAGGAGGAGGAGGAGGAGAGAGGAGGGGCTGATTTAGAAAAGACTTGGCCCTGGACCCGCCCTCCAAGGGTCGTAGGTTTGGGAGATCGCCCCCCTGCACGACCGCCGTGCGCGACAACTGGAAATGCTTCGGCCGTCGGCGCTCTGGGAATCTCTCCTCCAGGGGCACTCGCCGTCCTCGTCGTCCTCGTAGTCGTCGCAGTCCTCGTCCTCGTCGTCGTCGTCAGTCGTCGTCGTCGTCGTCCTCGTCGTCGTCGTCGTCGTTTTCGTCGACGTCGTGGTCACGGCACTCCAGGGGCATTCACCGCAGCGGCTCCTGCTGCAACGTCAGCATCGGCCAGGGGCAACTTCGCGGAACAGGAGTCGGCAGGGAGGGTCACCAGGGCATCATGAGCCAAGGTCCGCAGTGACCATTTCTGCCAGAGGGCGAAGCTCTTCCGAGTGGCAGGGGGGCCCGAGACATGGTGCACTACAAGCGAAGAGGCCTTCAAGGGAAATGCGGGCCGTGCTGTGGGGTCGAACGTCGGTCCACACAGATCAACGCACGGACGGACGTGCGCGACACACGACAGGACAGCTGCAGCAAGACCAGGCAACGCAAGTTTCGGTGTCCAGAGCGCCTGTCCGCCGTAGACTGGTGCCTGGCGCTGGCTGGGCACCACAATCTCCCGCAACGCCTACACGACCCTCCTTTTTATCTCATGTCTCCCCCTGCTCCTCGATGTCCTCCTCCTCCTCCTCCTCCGACTCGCGCCCGATGTCTCGTTGCCGTCAGCTGGACGTATGACGGTCAGCCCCGGGATCATGCGCAGGGATGGGACGGTCTCGATGGGTTGGTGCGTGGGGCCGTCCTCGCCCACCGCGATGGAGTCGTGGGTGGTGACGAAGATGGTGCCGGCCTGCGCCAGGGCGGCGATGCGGATCGCGTTGCGCATGTAGTCGCTGAAGATGGTGAAGGTGGCGCAGTACGGCACCAAGCCGGTCTTGTCCAGGGAGATGGCGTTCGACACGGCGCCCATGCCGAACTCGCGGATTCCAAACCGCATGTTGCGGCCCTCGTAGGAGCCCTTCAGGAAGTCACCCGTGCACTTCATCAGCGTCATGTTCGAGGGTGCCAGGTCCGCGGACCCGCCGATGAGCTCGGGGCAGGTGCTGGCCAGCGCGTTCAGGCAATCCTGGGACCACAGGCGCGTAGCCTTGCCGCTATCCTCGGGCGTCACCTTGGGCAGGCAGTCGGCCCAGCCTTCGGGGAGCTTCTTGTCGATGGCGATGCGCTTGAACTGCGCGGCCAGCTCGGGCTCCGCCTCCTGGTACCTGGCCCACAGGGCGTTCCACTCCTCCTGCTTCTTGGCGCCCTCGGCCGCGTGGGCACGGAAGACGTCGTAGGGCGCTCTGCGGAAGGGAACGGCGGCCGCGGCGTGCACCCGTCAGCATGCGTCCGTGCCACCGGCGCACGCAGCAGTCGCTTGTGTGCACGACAGCAGGCAGGGGGGGGTCCAGCACCCCCCCCCAGTACGATCGTGAGCGATACCCTGGGGGGGTGGGGGTGGGGGAGGGGGTTGGCCTGGGTAGCGAGGTAACGAGCGCCACCCTGGGTCGGGAAAGCAAAAAACGATCACTGCCGTGCCGATGGCCCCATGAAGCCCATCCGCCCATGCTTCCCCGCCGGGGCAGGATGGATCGAACGTGACGCGAGCCCATACGTTGTCGTCGTGGACGCCGACATGGGTGCGACAAAATGGGTACAATGCCCGAACGACAAATCGTGTCCCACACCATCAGCGGCCGCTGTTGGGCAGGCGGCCTTCTGTCGTCGAATGGACACAGGCCGCGGCAGCGTGGACAGCGAGTCCTGCTCAAAACGAACAGGAACTGCTGTTGGGCATTGTACCCATTCTTTCCGTACCCACTTCGTTCGTGCCGAACATCAGAGTGATGATTTGTCCGCGCAGCCGACCCGGCGAGTTCCAAAAAAGCTCACTGCAGTGCAGATGGCCCATGAAGCCCATCCGCCCATCCTTCCCCGCCGGGGCATGGAGGATCGAACGTGACGCGAGACGATCGATAACTCGGGCCGGGCGAAGGGGGGGATAGCAAAGGGGGGGGGCTGAGAATCAGCTCGCGTAGCTGATTTTCCCGGCGCCTCCCGGCGCCGGGAGGAGCCCATGTATCGAGGAATGGGCCCCTCGGGGGGGCCGAAACCGGCTGCACGCAGCAAATCCCGTAACCCCCCCCCCTTGCCCGATCCCCCCTCGCGTCCGGCCCGAACCGCGGCAGTGCGATGCTTTGTCCCAGCGCAGCCGACCCCGCGAGCTCAACGACGCGCCGGCCGGCCCGACCCTCGCCATCGCTCGGACGTCCACTCCGTGTGCTTTTCTCGGTGTCGTGCGTGGTTTTTCCGCCAGATGATCACGGATGCTCCTGCGATGGTCCTCGCCGAAGGAAAAATGCACACGTCCGAGCGATGCCGAGGTGACCGACCGACGCCGCGCGCCGAGCCGCACACGGCCGGGCCCGCGGCGCCCCGCGGGGGAGGCGCCCTGCCGGAGGGGCGCGCGCGCGCTCGGCCCGGGCGGGGGAGGCGCCGCCACGGCCCAGGCCGCGCCGCTCGTTGAGCGGCGCGCGCGGCCGCGGGGCAGCCGGGCTGCCGCCTGGCCGGGCCTCCGCCCGACACACGCGCACGGTCGGCCTGCGGAGGCAACTGCTGGGAGGTCTGCGTCGGAGAGATCAAGGCGGATTATGAGGATCCAAGTAGTGACCCCCGCCCCCGGCCAGAACTTGTTAGTAAATAACCCAGGCCCCCACGTGGTGTACAACATGCTGCGGGGCAAGTCATGAGCCTGCCTTCGTCGCGGAACTCCGCCGGAGGGGGCCTCGGACTATAAGCAGGAATCGGCCGGACTGAGCGGGATCAAGCGGGATGAAGCGGGAGTAAGCGGGAGGAAGCTGGATGAAGCCGGAGTTCGGACCAGGGCGAGAACAGCAGTTGACTTCCCAGGAGCTGCATCCGAATCGACCCGTGTAGTAAGGATGCGCGAGAAGGATGCAGGGGCCCAGGACGCGCGGCTCGAGGCCTTCGTCGCGAGCGGGGCGCGCCCCACGCGGGTGGCGCAGGATGGGCCGAGGAGGCAAGGATGCAAGGGTACCCTTGGGAAGGTACTCCAGATGTCATAGTAAAGGGGGGGGGGTCTCTTCCAGGCCATCTTGGAGGGCCTGAGGGGGTCTGGGGACGATGTTTTGGAGGGTTCTCCCACGGGGGAGGTCTGAAATGGCTTGTCTTGGAGGGTCCAGACCCCCTCCCTTTTATTACGAAATCTGGGGTACCCTTGGGAAGGTTGCCCATCCTTTCTATGCAGGTAGACTGTAGTTCAAACAACAGATAGAAAGAACTCTTGGGCACCTGAGACCGCCGATCCCAGGTGCAGGAGAAGACGACTACGGAGGCCACCCCGGAGGGGCCCTCGAAAACGGGGCACGGCGCGCGCTCAGTGCTTGCCCTGGCTTCCGTCCGACAGGACGCCCTTCTCGCCCTTCATGCAGCGCTCGGCGCAGGCGACGACGTTGGGGACGTTGAAGCCGAACTTGTCCATGCAGGTGCCCCCTGGGGCCGAGGCGCCGAAGCAGTTGATGCCCACAAAGGCGTCGGCCCACTCGCCCCAGCCCATGGTGACGGCCGCCTCCACGCTCATCTTGGGCACGTCCTTGGGCAGCAAGTTGCTCTTGTAGCTCAGCGGCTGGTCGCGGTAGAGCTCCCACGAGGGCATCGACACCACGCGCACCTTCTTGCCCAGCTCCTTGGCGGCATCCACGCACAGGCTGACCTCGGAGCCAGTGCCGATGAGGATCAGCTCCGGGTCCGACTCCTCGATCACGGCGTATGCGCCCCTCTCCACGTTGGCGATGGAGGAGTTTGGCAGGTTCGGCAACGCCTGGCGGGTCAGGGCCATGAAGGTGGGCATAGACTTGTACTTGGACAACTCGAAGGCGACTTTGTACGCGCCCGATGTCTCGTTGGCGTCAGCTGGACGTATGACGGTCAGCTCTGGGATCATGCGCAGGGATGGGACGGTCTCGATGGGTTGGTGCGTGGGGCCATCCTCGCCCACCGCGATGGAGTCGTGGGTGGTGACGAAGATAGTTCCGGCCTGCGCCAGGGCGGCGATGCGGATCGCGTTGCGCATGTAGTCGCTGAAGATGGTGAAGGTGGCGCAGTACGGCACCAGGCCAGTCTTGTCCAGGGAGATGGCGTTACACACGGCGCCCATGCCGAACTCGCGGATTCCGAATCGCATGTTGCGGCCCTCGTAGGAGCCCTTCAGGAAGTCACCCGTGCACTTCATCAGCGTCATGTTCGAGGGTGCCAGGTCCGCGGACCCGCCGATGAGCTCAGGGCAGGTGCTGGCCAGCGCGTTCAGGCAATCCTGGGACCACAGGCGAGTGGCCTTGCCGCTGTCCTCGGGCGTCGCCTTGGGCAGGCAGTCGGCCCAGCCCTCGGGGAGCTTCTTGTCGATGGCGACACGCTTGAACTGCGCCGCCAGCTCGGGCTCAGCCTCCTGGTACTTGGCCCACAGGGCGTTCCACTCCTCCTGCTTCTTGGCGCCCTCGGCCGCATGGGCGCGGAAGACGTCGTAGACGCTCTGCGGCACCTCAAACTCGCCGTACTTGTAGCCGAGCTGCTCGCGGGTCGCGGTGGCCTCGTCCGAGCCCAGGGGCGCGCCGTGGGCGTCGTGGCTGTCGGCCTTGTTCGGCGAGCCGTAGCCGATGACCGTCTTGACCTTGATCAGAGTGGGCTTGTCGGTGCACGCCTTGGCATCCGCGATGGCCTTGCGGAGGGCAGCCACGTCGGTGTTGCCGTCCTCGACCGTCAGCACCTGCCATCCGTACGCCTCGTAGCGCATGCCCACGTCCTCGGTGAAGGAGAGCTCCGTGTGGCCGTCAATGGTGATCCCGTTGTCGTCGTAGAAGACGATGAGTTTGCCGAGGCCGAGATGGCCAGCATATGCGCAAGACTCGTGGGAGATCCCCTCCTGGCAGCAGCCGTCACCCATGATGCAGTACGTGTAGTGGTCGATCAGGGGCAGGCCCGGCTTGTTGTAGACGGCGGCGTTGTGCGCCTCGGCAGCCGCGAGGCCCACGGCGTTGGACACGCCCATTCCGAGCGGGCCCGTGGTGACCTCGATGCCCGCAGTCTCGAAGTTCTCCGGGTGGCCCGGGGTCTTGGAGCCCCACTGCCGGAACTGCTTCAGGTCGGCCATGGAGACGCTCTCGTAGCCCGTGAGGTGCAGCACCGAGTACTGGAACATGCAGCCGTGGCCAGAGGAGAGCACGAAGCGGTCGCGGTTCACCCACGCGGGGTCCGCGGGGTTGAAGCTCATCTCCTCCGCGAACAGCACGTAGCCGATGGGAGCCTGACCCATCGGGGCT